GTTTTTTTTCTTTTAAATCGAGCCCAGATAATGCAACGAAATCAGTCCTTCCACTAAAAGCTAATTTTGTGCTTAGATTCATTCTTGAATTATTTTGTTTCGAACATTGTCTTCTCACTCTCAAGTAGTGCTCTTACTTTTTTACAGATTATATCAAATCTCAAAAATATTCTAACTTAAACTAACCATAGTAAAAATCGATTAAGACTATTAATCTGAGGGTGAATTGTTCTTTATTAGGTCAGATTAAATTAATGCCTTATGTTTGGAACGTTTCATCGAGTCTTTTATCTTTTCCTAGAGGCAGAGAATTAATTAGGGGAGTATGTAACACGCCGTGACGTCGCCGCAAGCAGGTGAAGAAAATTGTACTCGTGGGGGTGTGCACGCTTGCCGACGTTGAACCGACAAGCTACAAGAACCATTTAAACGTCTGTCACTGTGCAAATGCAGATGTTCACATGATTATTTATTATACTGAACAAGATTAGAACTTTTCTGACTTTTCTATTTAAAAAAATTCATTTCACGCATTTTGTTTCATGTATGAAAAATTTCGTTGTATCTAGAGAACACTTCCCCTACTATAAAAGCAACGATGATCGTTGGAAAAATTCGGTGCGACACAATCTCTCCATAAATCCCCACTTCAGAAAAGGATCAAAGGCGCCGCATGGAGCTGGGCATCTATGGGCCATTGCAAATCGCTCTGGAGATCCTAGACCTAGACAAATCATTAATAATTTTAATGCTAACTCCACCTTGAAGCAGATGAACAAAAACACTGTTGAAGTTGAGAACGTCAGGAAAAATATCAGGTGGTCAATCACTGTTCAGATAAGTATTCATGACAGAAATGTTTATTTAACTTGATCATTGTTGGCATTTTCAGTCAAATGAATTCAATAGATGAAGTAGAAGCAGCGACTGCCAGCATTACTCAACAGTCTTCAGAGGAAGAGGCTGAAAATATAGTGAATTCCGTAACATTGGAACACTGCGCTGAAGAAATCCTTAGTGGTATTAAGAAAGAAGTAGAGGTACAATATCTCGTACCAATGATGGTGTCTAGCAATGAACATGAATCTACCCAGTCCAATCAACAAACACAGGGGCTTCATTATCCTGTGAAAGAGAGTGGTAATCTAATTAGTCAAGCAAGTAGCAAAAATTGCATGAGAAAAAAGTTCAATTTTGCAAATGTATCTTTATAGATTTCCTTAATCCAGTGTCGAAGGAAGTAGTTGCCGAAGAATGTGGACTAATTAGCGAAGGCTATCTGGTCACAGACTTAAATCCCACTACTTTGGGCTTGAACATGGTTGAACCAGAAATCATTACACCTGAAAACCTCTTTGGTGAGGAGTTGAGTTTCCAATTCTACGAATTATCATCCCCATCGCAGACCCAATCTGCCTGACACATGGAGAAAAATAAGTTGCGATTAATTGTCATTGACGAACTGCACGTGCAAAATATTCAGGGCTGCGATCAAGTGGAAAACAAAGGAGATAGTCACAATGGTATCGATGAAAAGGAATTTCAGGAATCGATGGTTGAAAGCTGATTTTCTTTTTGATACAGCAAGACTCGTATATAAATCAAAACGAAAATGACTTTAATTTCTTCGAAAGTTCTCGGAAACAAACGAAGCGAACAAAGCTGAATGGGATGCAGCATATCATTGCTCCAGTATGCCTGGATATGTTTTATCGTGTCATTTAATACTACACATTAGTATAGTTTTCTTCTAGCTCTTACAGAATAATATGTACCGTTTTTTTTTT